GGTACCAGGGATCTAAAGACAGCTTCAGCTGCTTATAACGTAGATTACTGCAGACATTGCCTTGGTGCTCTGCTCAGTGCAGTAAATCTTCACTGAATGTTACTGAAGTCCTACTATCAAAATAGCTGTTCAGCTGTTGCAAACAAGACTTTCTAGTCAGTTTGTATGTATACGTAGAGGTAGTCAAGGTAGGCAACAATCTCAAATGGAATGCCAACCAACTGTGTAATAATAAGGCTTTAAGACTGAAATTCACTTTTATTGAAATGGGATTATTTAACCTAAAATGTTGCACAGAATTTCAAATGTGCAAAAGTTTTACACTATCAGTTCTCTGTGGTGAACCTGAAGAATTGCTTTGTTTTGTTTGTGGTACATGAGTAGTTTCTATACAGCAGTGTAGAAGCAATGGGAACTTACTTGTGTAGCAGTTGTCACCACCCATACCTTGGAGAAATGCAAGGATCTTTCAGATGATGACTATATAATTGCTTACACACACCCCAGAGGGAAGTTTCTTTCTGCAGGCCTATGTATTATAAGCTTTCCCACCCTTTCCCCCAGGTGCATGAGCTCATAAATCTTGCAAATAAGACAAAGAGGGAGATGTCCCCATAATCTAAAACTGAGGAGTCACTAAGTAGAAAATTCAGTTCCTGCTCTACAGTCTTACATGGAGAACTTGGTGCTTGTTTGGCAGGTACTTCAACCTCACTCTGTTTTCTCCAAATGGTGTTACACTGGCTCTCCAAGGCAGAAGGAGAGGACTGAGCAGCAAGTCTATCCTCTGCTGCATTTTCTCCTGTCATCTGTGGCCTCTGGTCCCTTTCCACTGCTTTCTACCTTTCTGACCTGGCCTTTGTGAGTTTGCCAGATACATTTCCTGCAGAGCAGGAATGGTTTCTCTGCCTTTCTAAAAATGTTCTGTTCTTTGTTCTGGTAAGTAAACAGAAGAACAGAGCTTATCCCATGATGGGGGATTTTTGTGTGTGATAGGAGGGAAACAAAGGAAGGAAATACTAAGTTTGAATTACAAGCTTATATAAATTATGTTTCAGAAAGTACACTGGATACGAGACAAGTTAATGCATTAAAGAAAACAGAGGTTGTAAGGGAAGTGTCAAGGAGCCTTAATAGGCAGGTTGTTCTGCTAAGGTTGTCTGCTGTTTCTCACTGTTGGCTTCCAGTTGTTTATAACTCTGCCAAATTTTCTTTCCATTCGTGAGGTCTCACCTGAGTTTTTGGTTTAAAGTTTGGCCAAAATAGCTGAGGTGTTCCCAAGAAAGGGGACATATCCACTGTGCTTTTCAAACACTGAAACAGCCAGCCTTTTAAGTGCTTCCATCTTTTCGTCAAGGACTTGAACTTGACACTTGAAAGAATGATGGCCTTTGTGTCAAGGAAATACCTTCAGAAAAATCTGCCTAAATCCCAGGTCACGAATGCTAAGTAGCTACTCAAATTTGTTGTAAAAAAAAAAAAGAACAGCTTTATCCTGGGGCTGAACAGGGGTTTCTCTATGGTTGCAGAACTAATTGCTCTAAATTCAAGTCCACTACCAGGGCTGAGAGCAGGAAGACTGTGATGGGATGTGAGTGCCGCCTGTTGACAAGCAGGTAGTGCAGCCAAGCTGCCTGACTCAACAAGTAAGACCACAGCCAAAATAAGGGTCCATCAGAAGTAAGATACTGAAAGACTGAGCAGGAAGTAGGGTGAGGGAGACTTGGGTTGGAGGATAAAGGGGACTGTGATATTCAGGAAGGGGTGGGGTGAGAACCTATTTGGTCATTTCTTCTGACAGTATTGAGAAGGAAAAAAAAAAATGAAAAAAAAAAATTAAGCTCCAAGACTTTTCTTTTTGAGCTATTCTTGGGATAAGGTGGCAAGGAATGAAAATGGTTGAAGGGATGAATGAGAGAGACAAATGTAGGTGCTGGTGGTAAGTCTGTTGGAGCATGATACACAGATGCAAGTCCTGGGCTAAGCTGATGATTGCAGTGCAACTGGAGCAAGCCAGGGGGTAAAGCCTGGTGAGCAGTACAGGCCATATCCATCAAGGCATGTTTCTGCTGAGACAGTGGAAGCTGAAATGCTTTGCTCTCAAGTTAAAGGCATGGAGGGGGAAATCAGTATTTGGATAGAATGTAGTAAATATGGCTGAGGGAAAGACAGACAGCTGTAATTCACAGTTAAATCAGGAGCCAAAGGGCAATTTAATACCTTCTTGTTACCAAAGCATTATTCATCCTGTGCCCTAAAAGAGAAGGGGGTGTTGCAAACAGTCTTGTAATTACGTATGCAGGTGTGTGTGGCAGCAAAGGGAGGTCAGTAGAGCCAAGGGTGTATTGGCAAACAAACCTGTTTCTAATATTTACTTTTCATGAATACGTGACTTTGTTGTCTTCATAATGTTCTCAACTTTGTTGTACACAATGTCTTAGCTTGGTTTGTTGCTTCCTGCCTAGGGCTTGCTGGAGCTGGATCCCAGACTCCAAAGCCAGCCCTTCACAAGACGCTTTTGTCAAGATAAGATTTTTCCCACCATGTACAGAACAGAGCACTTTTCAATTTTTCTTTAAAGCAATCTATATTAATGGAGTGTTAACAGTTTGAAGTCAGGTGCTCAAGAGTTTGCGCTGGGTCTCTTCCAGCCAGCAATGGCGAATCTTGGCTTTCATGTCCGAGCCTGGAAGAGGACCACAGTCTGAATAATGAAACCACCCAACATATTTGATCCAGTGGAAAAAGAAGGATGGCTGAAGATATCTTTTGGGGCTATCTTAGAGATGTGCTTTCCTTTGTCAACTCTTCCATTTAAGAAAGCCTTGTTGGGTTGGGGGTTGTTGGTTTGTTGTTTTTCTTTTTTCCTAGGAGAATTATATTAAGCTCTGCTTGTTGCCAGGTATTAAGACAGACAATTGTGTGTAGCTGCCATCTAGATTTTCTCCAGAATCCCAGCTGAGCCTGTCTTTCCCTGTACTCCTGGAGAGAAATCTGATTGATTGCTCTGTCAGAGGCTTTAATTTTATTCCTGTTACACAGAAATGTCAATATTTCTTGAAATACGATGCAGATGTTGCATTTAGGAACCTGGTGGGATCTGAGATGATGCTTCCACAGAGGATGTATGCAGAAATTCCAGGACTCCCAGGGACTTCTACTGAGTAGGGAAAATAGCTTTGTAAGAGTGTGAATACTCAGCAGAATACATTTCAAACTCCACATGAACTGCTGTGGGAGCAGCTGGTAGCACCTTTTGACTCCATTCATCCACGTTTAGGCTGTATGTCTGAAGGAGTTTGTTTTGGTACCTGATTTTTGTGGAACATGGTTGCTATTAGCATTTTATTTTGCTCAGTCACTAAAGGTTAAAATGGTGAGAACTTTAAATGGGGAACAGGAAGAGGCTAAAATCAATCTGGATCTCTTTCCTCCTCTTTCCCTTCAAGTAAAGAAAGAGTAGGAGGGGGAAGACTTAGAAAATCAGGGAAGCTTTCAGTAGTGGCAAGCATATTGTTAATATAAAGCCCAGTTTGTCTGCAAAGGTTATTCAGGCTTACAAGGCAAGCACTCAGATGTTGTTTATCAGTGTTGTCCTAACCCACAGGCAAGAGTTTAGTAATGTGCACTGAATGTGGGCAGTAAGAGGTTGGTTTTAGTATTTCCTGTGTTAAAATGACTGCTTACCTTCTTCTGAAAGTCAGTGTTCATTTGCATTTTTTATGATTATTCATGTTTTGCCCTAAATATTTAGTCTGTAAATTTGAGAGAGATTAGTTTGTAAAAGAAAGGGAATAGACTGTAAGTCATGCTTAAATTTGTAATTTTGCAGAGTAGCTTAAGGTGACACATCGGGGTGCCTGTGTTCTTCATCCTCCTCAGCATCACACTGTTATGCTACCGACATAATCTAATAAAGCAATGCTGGTGTTTTCATGATTCAGCAATCTTGAATAAGGGATCCTGACATTCTGTCATGTTGGTTTTTATATTGTCTTTTAATATATGACAATAACAAATCAGTGCACAATATTTGTAAATGTCGCACAGCGCATACGATAAGTCTTGCAGTATATTATTATCTGGACTGAAAATACAGCACATCTATTAAAAATGACCCAGTATATGAGAAAATAACAAATCTGAGCCTGTCTGCCTTGTATTTGCCCGTCATTTTCATTTTGATTGCGATTGGCTGGCAAGGGCTGCTGCTGGCATTGCACAATTGGCTTAGATGGAGAATTACAAAACAGGAGCAGATCTCTTGACTGGGACTCGGTAGCACAGGCAGCTGAGCACAGGCGAAAAAGAAAGGTCACCCGGTTGCAAGGATTTCAGCACAATCTCTCTCACAGATGTTTCCATTCCAGAGAAGTGCATCTGATCTCATTCTTCTCATCTACGAGTTGGACTGTTTAAATGCTGTAGGGATTTTTTGTTTTGGTGAATGTAAAAATGCACCTGGGAACAAGTTTGCAGCCTGGAGGCATATGAGAATTTTGGGTGTGCAGAGCAATATCGTGAAATGATCAGAAGGATCTGCATTTTTAAGGGTTTTAAATATCAGTGAGGAGAAAGACAATTCAAACAGAAGGTTAAAAGCAGATGCAAAAGGAAAGCAACTTCATTTTGATACTGAAATTATACCGGAAACAGCATGAAGGAGGGATTACATCAGCACCAAAACAATGGAGAGTCAAAGGGGGTTATTTTTCTCTGAAATAATCTCTGTACAAGAAATGTAAAAACTACCTTTCATGAAAAAGAATTCGTGATTTGATTATGGTTTGAAGGTCTGTGGAACATATTTGGGACTGCTGCATCTTTCCAAAGGTGTGTACAGTATAGTGTATCTTTACTTGAGATGCTTAGGTGAAGAAGACTCTGCACAAAAAGGGCATGCCTGGGTCATACTGCCTTTTCGAGTAAGAGAACCAGAGGAATTCTGCTTGTATTTTAACTCAACTTTCTCTTTTTCTTCTTTCCTCATCCAAACTTAGTTTACGAGATGCTGGAATTGGATTTATTCTTGTCATAGATCGCAGACAGGACAAATGGACCTCTGTGAAAGCTTCTATTCTGCGAATAACAGTGAGTACTGTCTTAAATTAACTCCTTCAAAAGATTTTTTTAGTGTTGAACCCTCCTCTTAGAGTGGAAAATCAGCCAATTTCTTCAAAAGAACAGTAGCCAATAGATGGCACAAAAAGTATCCTGTAGTTCTTTTCCATCCCAGCTGACTGCAGCTGAGCATCATGTGTCTGTGGTGTGCTTTAATGGAGTTTGCAGCTCAGGACATCTTCCTGAGAAGGCACTTGGAGAGCATGTGCGTGTGTATGCACCTAAATGCATGTGGCTTGCTGCTTTCCCAGGTAGGGACCAATATTTGCATGGACAGCCCATGACTCTACCTTTCACTCTTCCAGTGAGCTTCCAATATAGGAAGAGATGAGGATGAGGATTCTGCCTTACTTTGCTGCTTGTGAAAGGACTTGTGATGCCCAAATTAAAACAGGGGTTGCTTGTAAACAGGAAAATATTATGTACTTACTGTGATCCATTAACAGCACACACAGTTACTTTCAGTGCCGCTTTTAATTAATGTTTTTAAAATCAGAAAACAAAGTTTCTTAGAGGCTTTTTTTATTTGCACATGTAGGAAAAGACAGATTCATGTTTATGATTTGCTCAACCTACTGTTGTTTTACTTTACTTGTTTTCTTGTTATCCTTACTTGTATTGTTGGTGCTTATAATCTTTCGAGTAAGTGCCGAAAAAGGGCTGTAAGCATCTTTTCTTTAACTTTTAATGGCTAATAAAATTTGGCTCTGTTAGACAGAAGTGAAATCAAAACAGTGAATGTTATTTTTGTGTAGCCCCATTCTGACCAAGGAACTGTTTATCATAAGTTAAAAGGTATTTATTAAAGGTAATCCATTACTCCCACTATATGACTTCTTGTGAATGAATATGTAATGATAAATATTCCCACAATACAACTTGTTCCATGATAAGTATGTCAGGAATGTTAAAATACTGAAAATATACCAGAATATTAACAAAATTTGATTTTGCAGTTCATTTTGAAATTTTGTGATGCAGCTTTGAGGTGATTCCAATAGTGGAAACTGAGAGCAGCATAATTTGGGGTGATTAAAGAAAAAGTGCTAAATCTTTGGAGTTTTTTAATCTCTAAAAATTCAATGCTGTAGTTTCTGTTCAAGGACAAATAAGTATTCCACAGATGGCAGTCCTTTTATTTATATAATTGGGGTGGTTGCAGGTGGGGGATTATTACAGACAGGTTGCTTATAGCCATAATATTAATGTTTATGGTAATGTTCCTCCAGTGTGTGTCATTTTGCCTAGAAGCACAATATACAGAACCTGAGTATCTATTCACTTTGATAAGGGACCCATCACTGGAGTGATGGCACTCCTGCCTCAGGGCTTTGCCTGGAGAAGGGTGTTTAAGCACAGGAAGTGCTGTGGGTTGCAGTGCTGTTGATGATGAGTTACTTTCCTTCTTCCTTCTTTTCTCATTCTTCTATGAGCTTTATTTAAAATAAAATAAATAAAAAAAAAACCTCACACTTCTCTAGTTGAAGTCTAATCTCTTAGAGGCATGACCTTTTTCTATATTTGTTTTGTTGAACTGGCTCAGCTCTGGCTTTGTATTTCACGCATGAATGTGTGTGGCAGCCTTCCTTTGGGCTTCAGTAGGAGTCACATCATCCTAGAACACCTGAAAATTTCATTTTCCTATTCCAAAAAAAGATCTGGTGAAAAATAGTTTGCTGTTGTCCACCATTTGTTTGCTATAATCTTTGCCATAAATGAACTCTAAATACATTTCTGCTGTCTGTTCCTTAAAACAGCAAAGCCAGATGTACACAGTGTGTATCTTGCACCAGTCATGAGGATTTCTCTGGGTCTGGTTGATGGCCAAAGATTTTTTTTTAAATGGCTCAAGGGCAACTGGAAGCTTAATTTCTGCTTGTTTGTTTTTTCTAGCAGTCAAAGTTGTCTTTTGATAGCAATGAAGCATCTGAGTGTCATTTGTGTTGTCCAGATAGAAACTAATGTCTGAAAGGCTGGTATCCCAAGCAATTTTGATTGCTGCTGTATGTGAGGATATGTCTCACATTATTTGGGAAGAGAGTTTTGGCTGTTGCCTCATTTGTTGTAGTTCCTGCAGCGTCCTCCCTGTTGCCTTTCCTGACTTTTCCCTAATCATCCTGAGGGGGTTGACCCTCTTGATTTGTGAAATCAGAGATACCAGTGTGGGGTGCTGTGGCTGGGAGCATCTGCCCATCACTAATATCTTGACAGCTGTAGGAAATATATTTGTAGGCACTGAGCAGCTGCTAACCAGAATTTTATACTTTTTTTTAGTATTACTATTTTGCGTTATTTTCAAGACCCTTCACATAGAATTGTTTAATTAGTACTAGTGGGTGTTGCAAGTATGTTTTTGAAACAGAAGTGATGAAGAAAATCTTTTTTTCAGGCTGAAATTAATGTGGAAAATTTTTCTATATTATGAAAATTTTCTAGACTTCATTTTTTCTCCCTTTTTGATAGAGATCATTTTCTTTCCTGGGACTGAAAAAGAATAATAATGAGCTGAATCTGTATTTCACAGTGATTCTTGTAAGGTTGCTATAGACAGTCAAGGCTGTAAAGACAGAGGTAAAGCTATTTTTGCAGACACAGTGGAAGGGCAGTGGCTGCACCATTCACCCAGGAGGGCTGCTGCTGAAACACGTGCAGTGACAGCAGACCTGACACCAAAGCCAGAGGCACTGGGCTGAAAGATGACGCCTCTTTTCCTGGGATGTGAAAGGGTGCTGCTCTGTTAGTAGTTCCAGTGTGTTTTCTTAAAAAAAATGAAGCGCATGTCATTACATGATCTTTGTCTCTGTGGTCCTGTCATCACTGTCTTCCTCTGTCTTGAAAGGCTGAAGTGTGAACTCAGTCTTTCAAAGAAGAAACTGCAGTCAACATCATTAAAAGTTCCACCATAGCCATCAGCCTCATACTGAAAGTCCAGATTCCCTAAACTTGGTGTTTAGGGAATAACATAGGTGTGGGCAACTGCTGTTGAGGAAGCAGGTGGTAGTGAGAAAGTTTTATCCAGTCACAAACTTTGCAGCCATTTCTAAATATGACAAGAGTTGGGTTTTATCCAACCTCCTAGAGTAGCTTACTTTGTGATTTGCCATTTTTGACTAAGGATGTATTGCATGCAGGTTTCATGCCTTCTGTTTTAGACTGCATTGTCCAGAGCACTGTTTTTTTTCTTAGTTTTTCATAAATCAAAATTTTGTCTTCACTGTAGCACAGGCTTAGCCAATTAGTGGCTTTGAAGATTAGGGCCAAGACGTTTAGCTGGCAGGGGGAGACCAAAAGCCAGTGGAGAGACTGGAGTGCTAATACCAACCTAAACCTTGCAGGAGTCAGGCAGTCCCGTGTTTGTGCCATCTGGAGTTGTTTTTACATCCAAGGTGAGAAACAGTGAAGTACAGTAATCCAACCTCGAGTTCTTTGGCTTTGTAGAGAGGTGTTGAGTTTCTTAGTGAGTTGTTGTTGGAGAAAAGATGCTTCTAGTAGTGATGCGCTGTGAAAGGCACTATTTTATGTTATGTTATGGATAAGTATTTCTCACTAGCCCATTTTCTAGCAAGTTCTTTGAATCATGTTCAGTAATGATACTTAACAATTCATATCAGTTAAGTTTGAAAAAGCTAGTGGTCCTTCAGCCCCTACTCATTTCTTTTTTTGCCTGGATTCAAAACAAGAGCTTGACAGTATGATGAAGTTACTATTCATATTAATATTGTGGCTATTGTTATTAATTATTTCAGTTAATGATAAAATAAAAGGTTATTTTGAGATTCTGTATGGGTTTGTCTTACTGCTTTGGATGTTTTATTACATGTGCAGGCACTTTGTCCTTACCCTTGTAAAGTCAGCCATTTTTTCCTTTTTATTATATAGAGTTTTAATACGCAAAAAGAGAGAAGTGGTTCACTTAAGGTCTGAAAACACGATCATAACATCACAAACATTAAATGCAGATCTAATGCAGAACAGCTCGATGTTTTTAAAACTAGATTTCAAACTGCTGCTTTTATAAATTGACTTAATTAAAGATTCTTTCCTGACAAGATGCCTCTTTCAAAGGCTTCATTCTAGCCAGGAATAAACAATCTGGACAAAAAATAAAAAGAAAAAAAGGGGAGAGTGGGGGCATTTTTTAGCTCCTTTATGTACGGAGGTATTTTGGAAAGAAGTGCCCTGTGGCTTGTGGCATCCTAGTTAAGTGCAGAAGGAAAAACACCACCACAGAGCTTGGTGGTGTAAGTATGTTGAAGCTCTTCATAAAACGAATACTAGTGTTGCTCCAAGTATTTTAAGAGTGAACAACTAAAACTGAGTCAGGAAGTAGGTCTTTGATGGCTCACATGGTTTAGATAGTTCTGAAAGCTGTTTACCTGGAATGTGGGGAAAAAAAGATCTTGTAGGTTCACTGTTTATCAGAAAAACTTTCCTTTGCTGTGTAGGAGTATAAAAGACTTCTGAGCACCTGGGCATCTGAGTGAATTGCTCTGTGGGATTGAACAGTAGACAGCAACTTTATTTTAAGTTCATCTCTGTCTAAAAGGTATACATACCTATCCACATAATTCCTTTGTATACTAAATAAGCCTTAGGAGGGCATAGTATACGTGAGATATGAAAACTCAGAAGTGTTGGCTTTCTTTTCCAAAGCTCACCATTGTGTATTCACTACTGCAAGCTTTAGTGACTAGCTTCTGGTTGTAGACCCCAGCCACTGCTCTGCTGTGTGCTGCCTCTTTCTGGGAGCGGCAGCCTGGCAGTGCTACATACTGTCTAAGTAAATATTGTGACTGTTGTAAAGTATGTGATTTAATGAGATTTATTCCTCCTTTGAAAATGCCATCTGCCTAATGGCCTATAGTGCATGTGCCGTATACAATTGCTGTCAGGCAGGAGTGTGTGGGATTGCTGCTCTGCCTGACTGGTCCATATAAAATTGTCAGACGACTTAAACAGCTCCCTGTTGGGCACCAACAGAGCAAGACCACATTACAAACTGGAAACCAAAGATAGGAAGACTCTTAGTACCTGTCTTTGAAATGCTGTCCCTCCCGCCCTGCAAATAAGCTTACCAGCAATCAGGCAGGCATTGCTTCATGCTCAGCTTTTGCAGTTCCTTACCAGCCATTCAGCATCGTGTCATCTTCATACGTGAGATGGCCTACACCTCCTTACCTCCCACTGTTAGGAGCTGCTTAATTTCAGGGTTAGTACTAGTGCTACAGATAGCCTCTCTGTCATTAATATTCTGTGAAGAAAAATGATAATTAAGTCTATATGTATCTAATTTTACATTAATTTTACATTCTGTCAAAAGCCCAGACTGGTTCAGTCTGTCTAATATTGCCCATTTCCAGAAGCCTGGAGCATGCAGGGGAAAGCTACCCCATCCCTGAGAAGCAGAGGCCTGAAAGAAGGGGCATCAACCTGTTCCTGAGTATTAATTAACTGGTTTCCTGGAGTATTTAAGGTAGTCCCTCTTTTGTCCAGCCAGCAAAATTTCTCCCCATGTTCAGGGTACTTATAGAGCAGCCATTTTGAATATAAATTCCTATTTTGGTCAGATTTATTTCAAAGCTGGTATTTACTTGCACATCTACATCTTTTTCTGTTCTTTGGTATTGGCACTGGCCTGGCTGGATGGGAAAGTGAAAGAGACAAGCAGATAAAAAACTAATCCCATGACTGTCATGAAGTACCAAACAAGTGCCAGTGTTAATGCAAGTGAGATGAAGGAATATATGGGTTGCACTCTAGTAGAATAGTGGCTACCCTTATTTTCATAGAGGATAACAAAAGCGTGACCCCTGATTTCCTTTTCCCTAGATATTAAATTAATTTAATTGCAATATTTGAGACAAGATGTGGGAGCAGTTGACGTTAATCTAATAGACAGACACTTTCGGAAAAAAGCTTTCAAGCACACAAACCCTTTTCAAGTCTCGGTGATGTTCATTGACTTTGCCAAACAGTCCTTGAAGGCACTTTATTTTATGGCACTACTAAACACGCATGCTTAACATTTGACACTGCATTATTGAGAAGTCATTGTTCACTCTGTCTGCTTAGCATACAATGACTTCAAAGAAATATGCTGCTGGACTGGAACAGAGATTTCTTGTTTGTTCTCTTGCACTCAGGGTGAAGCTGACTGGCTGATGAAGTTCACACACATCTAAGGAGTGTGTCTTGCATCATATCATTTTCCCTGCAAGTCACAAGGGCTTTGGCAGGATGGGGGGGGGGGGGGGGGAGAAGCTGGGAAAATAGTAATATTTGAGCAGGGCAGATATAAGCTCAGATAAACCAGAAAAGCTGGTACAGGTCCAACATTGTTTACTGTAGCAATGCTCCCTTTTCTTGTTGTTTCACAAAGATCAATTTGCAGATTTGACACTAGCAGAGGAGACATTTTTTTAAACCTTGGGTTCTTCGGGGGCGTGGGTGAAAGGGGGGGGGGGAATGAAAAAAACTCTGAACTTTTGTTGAGAGAGGGGAACCTTCTGGCAAGCCTTGAATGGGAGTTAAAGTGGTACAAGACTGTATGGAGTTAAATAGCATTGTTTTGCGTAGACACTGAGATGGAGAATAATTGTAATGTGCATTCTCTGTTCTTTGAATTGAACACTGATGAGACTACCTACTTAATTTGGTCATGCAATTAAACTATTTCATAAAAGCTAATACACAATTTAGAAAAATTTACTATTGCATTGCATTTGGCTACCACTGTTTGCTTCAGTAATAGCCTAAATATCAGAATCACAGAATAACAGCTTGGGTTAGGAGTGACCTTTGAAAGATCATCTGGCCCAACCTTTGATGGGGAAAGGGAGCCTCAATGAGATGGTCTTGGTACCCAGTCCAAGATGGTCTTGTAAACCTCCGGTAATGAGGATTACCGCATCCCTGGGGAGGTTGTTCCATTGAGTGATTATTCTCACTGTAAAAAATGTATTTCTTATATCAAGATTAAAACTCTCCCCAGTGCAGCTTGTGCCCATTGCCCCTTCTCTTCTCCACATGGTTCCTTGTGAAGAGAGAGCCTCTGTCCTCTTTGTAGCCACCCTTCAAGTGGCACCTGGAATGCTGTGATGAGGTTCCCCCTGAACCTTCTCTTCTCAAGGGAGAACTGATTCCTTCAGTCTGTCCCCATCAGGCAGGGTCTCCAGCCCTTTATGGTAACTTAAATTTACTTTTTGGTGTCTTTCATGCTTCATAATTTCATCCTATTTTATGTTTCTAATGTATCTACTCAATTTGAAATTAACAGCATAGACATTTCCCAGTATTCTGGGTAAAGGCTAAATGGGTTGCAAGTATGGTCTGCCAATGACGCTATGTCTGGATGTCATGTGGTGGAGTAGATATTTCATATGAAAATGTGTTATCTAAAAGATACTTCTTCTTGGAGCTTCTTCATCTGAAATGTTGGCATTGCCAATGAATTAACTTCACCTTTTGGAAGCTGAAAATCAGCAGCTCAGACTCTGAACAGTGCTATTTTAGGCACAAAATTAATTGACACATGCCTATTGCATGTGTGAAATGAATAGACTACATGGCTGTCATTCTGAAAAGCTTAGTCAGGAGGTTTAATAAAAAAAAATGTCCATTCTCGCAATGCTTCTAAGTTAAATAATTTTCTCAAATAAATTTGCAGCTGTCCTTGGTACAATAATTTTAAAACATGGTAAAAACCCTTCTTTTCTTAACTTTTTCTTCTGAATACAGTCAGGAATTTCCTATTAAAATTTTTAATTTGACAACTGTGGGTTAGTACGTCCACAGGGTGTACTACTTTTAGTACAGAGAAAGATTGTTTAAAGTGCAAGGATGAGGAGCTGGTGTGGGCACTTACCTGGATTCTCTTCCCCATCCTCAGGCAGACTCCTTTGGGACTGAACCCCATGCTTTCTAGAAAATTTAGACATCACCAAAGTGGAGGCAGATTGTGAAGCTCAAGCCTTTAAGGTTCCTCAATCAAATTGAGATCTCTGTTGTATACTGAATATGCGATGAACAACAGTGAAGTCTTCCAGAAAAGTTTTTTAACCACTTCTCTCTTTTAAAGTTTGTGATTTTTTCAATGCTAAATACTTGGAAGTCTTGTAAACTTCAAAATGAATATTAAACCACTCTCTAAGCTGCCAGATACTAGCAGTTTCACTAGGCATGGAAACAGAGCATAGTGTAACAGCTCCTTCAGTCTGTTTCTGGATTTTAAATGCTTGATGGGTTTTGTCCTTTTTTTTTTTTGTCTTAGTTCAATTTGCTAGAAATGTGACATAATTTCCAACAGTAAAATGAAGAAAATGGTATACTTACTCATTATAATGCTCATTCCTGTAGTGAGCTTCACTGTCTCCATACAGTGGAAATACTGAATAGGGGGAAAGACTTGCATGATTTCAAGAATTTCTAAATGCCAAGTATGCAAACCTCTGCCATGCAGAGTTAGATCCTTAGTAATTTAGTGCTATTTCTGTGCTTTCCTTCTTCTCTTTTCTGTTTCCCCCCCTATCACTTCAAGAACTGGGAAAGATCTATCAGACTATTGGTTGGAAGATGAGGAAAAAACCACAGCTGAGAATTATTGTGTTCAACTTTTATTTCTGTCTGTAAAATTAAAACTTTTTTCTACGCTGCTGTTTGAGAAATTCAGTCTCAGTGGCAATGGTTTGTGTAGGCAACTGGCAAGGTAGTATACGCACAAGTTAGAAATGTGTTGTTAGGTGTTCAGACAATAATGGAGGTTTCTCTTGGCACCCGCTATGAAAGCGAAGATAAGGTAACTGTGAGAGTATTGCTGCTGAAAAAGTATTAATCCACCACTGTTTATTAGCCTCCTTGGCTGGATGTAATTTTAGCTGAAGAGCATTACAAGCCAGCCCCAAAAAATGTGATTACAGGAGAGTAGATTCCTGTTCCCAAAGAAGAGTAAATGTCTTTTTGAATGAAGCTTTTTGTACAAGTCTTGCAAGTTTATAATTGGTAACCCCATTATGGGAGGCCTTTGATAGGGTTAGTCTGTGGTTTAATGGGGGCTTCTCCTTGTTCAAAAATATTTTCTGGAGCTGAGAGACAAAATAACAGACTAAACTTGTTTTGCAGGCATCTTTCCCGGGAAACCTGCAACTAGTCCTCGTTCTGCGCCCAACAGGGTTTTTTCATCGAGCTCTCTCGGACATTGCTTTCAAATTCAACAAAGATGAGTTTAAAATGAAAGTACCTGTAAGTAATGCTCTGGTTTTACTTTACTATCAGAAATCTGTTAAAGTACTTAATGTCGCCAGTGAGGACCAAAAAAATCCCAGCAAAAAGGTGCGCTTAATGGAGCATATGAATTTTTAAGCAGATGCATTTCCCATGGACAAATACTATAGTTTCTATCATTTGAGCAAACATACAACTGTTTCCTGTTGTTACGTCACCAGTAAACCCACTGGTAATACTCTTGTTTGTAAATGTACAGTGTTTATAGTTTAAAATAAACTCTGAAACTATACAAGTTAAAAATATACAAGTTATTTTACTTATTGGATGTAAACTTCAAGGGTGAAAGATAATCTTTAAGATACTTTTCCCCCAACCCCTGTTTATTTGGGGGAAACTGTTTTTACATGCCAAACTACTGGAGGTACTGTTGTTCTCTTCCACAGACCCAGGATAACAGGGGGAAATGAACAAGAAATGAATGTTGCTTTTAGAAAATAGCTGTGTATGCTTTATCAAGATTAAAAAAAAAACAAACTGGTGGTATAATTCATGTTGTAAAATCCATAAGCTTTTTTTAAATCTGCCTGGTGCTCATGCTCATACGCAGTTTTTTACTTTTACCATTTTCTTCAACTGAACCGACTTTAAAGTTTATTTTTCTGTACCCAAAGGAAATAGTTCCATCATTTGCTTCTGTACTGAACTGAATTTTCTTGATTGGAGGCTGAAGGATGGGGCTTAGAATCCTTAACAAGAGACTTCTCAACACATTCCCCTTTTTTCTTTGCTCCTGCAGATCATAATGCTGGGCTCAGTATCAGAACTGCAGAGTTACATTGATAAAACACAATTAACAGAAGATCTTGGTGGCACCCTGGATTACTGCCATAACAGATGGCTGTCCCGTCGCACTGTAAGTCTTAGTTGTTGTTATAACTTTTCAGTTTAATGATCTGGTTTATACATTGTCATTTCTAAAATAGATTCCAAGTGATGCAAGTTGACTTTCTCAGAGTGAGAAGATGTTCCCAATGGTACTTAGTCATCTTGGAGAAATAATATGAGTAATAATTTGGGAGTGGTTTTCTGAACACTTGGAGCAAAGGAATTACAGTATATTATTGTGTTGAGGTTTATTGGTTTTGCTACAAGAAGAAAAAGCTCAAGTTGTAAAATAACTCCAGAGTATAAAAATATGAGGAAGATATACCTGATACAAGCCTAGGAAAAATATACAATTAAGGAATTAATGGTGACGGTATCTGTTGCTTGCAAAACTATACTTTGACCATTTTTCATGTAATTCATCTGCTTGGGTTTGTTTTGAAAGTTACATTTTGTATGCATGTGTGTGTTTGTATATATGTATGTGATGAGCAATGAAACATCTTTAATGATTTTTATTCCAAAAGGCTATAGAAGGTTTTGCCCAAAAGGTTAAGCAAACAGCTCAGATTCTTCAGTCCTTTGGGACTGAACTGGCTGAAACAGAGCTACCAAATGATGTGCAATCAACCAGCTCCCTTCTTGCAACACACACAGAAAAGAAGGACAAAATGAAGGTATGTAATTTTTGTAAAAATGCTATTTTCCAGTTAAACTGTGTTTTAATTTATAGCTAATAATGTTAATAGAAAATTTAGAGGATGTTAACAGACAATGTGAAACACTGAAATCTTATTGAACTTGTTTTGCTTGGTTTGATGTTAAATATCCTTGCATTCAAAAATGGCATTTCTTGAGTCTAAGTTTATGTTTGTACAAATGCATAATGACCTGTATGCAGAATCAGAAATTCCTTTGTAAGTAGCAGTGTGTTTGGTTTGCATTTTTGTTTGCAACAAGAAATTTGATTGTATTTGTGTGCACATATGAAAATATTTGACCTTTTGAAAAACGGACAAATGTTCTTTCAAATCAGATAAAATGAAACCTACTTGGGGGTTTCAAAGCTGGATATCTAAAACTTATGAGATGTTTGAAGCCTAAGGAGATACTAGAAGCCTGTGTATCATGAAAATTAAACTAGGTTACATTGGGATTTTAAGATGGTAAACATAGAAAAAAAAATGGCATTTAGAATTTACTCTCTGTATTTGTTGTCAAACGCTGCTTTAAATCAAACTATGCTTGCTCTACTGCTGTTAAGGCTTCAAACGAAAAAGGATTTTGTTTTATGAAGTGTGCTTTAAAAACCAACAGAACGCAACTACAGTGTGAAGGGGTTTTGTTTTGTGTTGTAGGAGGATATCAGGTTAGCAGTAGAACAGGGAGATGACATCCTCGGAAGTATTACAAAACCAGTTACTGAGAATCCTGAATACAAACTGAATCAAGATCAGCTAGACAATCAAACTACAGTAGAAAGGTGAGAGGAGTGGGATACTGAATGTGCTGCTTTTCTGTGTTTTTTGACCCTTTCCCAGCTCTTTTACTTAGTTTGTTATGCATGCTTTTGAATTGAATGGGAGGTTTCTTTTTCTTTAAATTTGCCCAAAGGAGCTTCTAGCTTTGCTTGATATCCTATCAGTGTTGTTAGTAGCTTTTAATTCGTTACTAGGGAGTACACTGCCCTTGAAGTATCTATGCAGAAACTTCCTATATGGTTCCTTTGGGCATATAAGTAATAGAAGTTTTTTCCTTTGCTACCCCTGCAAATTGCTGCCAGGTTTGAAGACATTTTATCACCACAGAACAGATGTAAATTTTCACAAAGCTATGAAAGCGTTGCTTATTTCCCCCAGGCAATATTCTGCATTCTTTTTTTCTCTGTCATTCTGTGTTTCTGCTACAGTGGAGCTGACTTTTCTTTCCAAATAACTGTCCATTCCAATACACAAAGCTTGGCAGAAGTCACTTTTTTTGGTCACTGTTGCTATCAGCCATCTGAAGGACAGCCAGGGTGGGGGTTGCTAATTTATCCAAAATGTTCCCACTCAATATAATATCTGAGGGAAGTTGGAACAAACTGTGTGTTTGCATGTGCCTTTTTTCTACTTGGTTTTAACTTGTAAATTCAGGGTTTATTTCCATGCTGTTGAAGACAAGAGTTCATTAAAATTCTGATGGTATGGCCTTCTGTGGACATAGCCTAAGTAAGGCAAAGCACACTGTAAAGTCCATAGGATAACATACTGTCAAATGCAGTATTAGAAGATAAGTTCAAAAGTAAAAATTCTAAGGCATTCACCAAAATTATACTTGAAGAAGGCTGTTTTCATTGCAGTACTGCTGTGCACTTGCCTGAGGTATTTAAGAAGTAACTCCGCTTGAAAGGGAAGCAATGACCTTCAGGTTTATTATGAGCCTTGCTCCAAGGAATGAAAAGTAAGGGCAGCTGGCTGGTCACAGCAGTATGACTTTTTGCCTTCATTTTTGCTCATAGCCCAAGGCTTGGGTTCCTCTGGGTCCTAGCCCACACACATTTGCATGTTTTATTTATGTGTGCTAGCCCTAAGTACCCATGTCCTGAGCTGAGAAGAAGTCTGTGTGCAGCAGCTAGCTTCAAATCAGCACTTGCCAATTTTTCAGAACTTAATATTTGTGTTGGGTTTCAGTTTTACACCAGTGTTATTTTAGGAAACAATTCTGTGCAATACTCAAAGTTTCCTGTATCCAGTTTATTTTTTCTGGAAAATATTGCTTTGGGGAAGCCTTTTGTTTACTGTGTAAGGTTGTATTTTCCATTGAAGGTTGAACCCATCTTTCTTACAGGTTTTTTGGGGGGTGTTTGTTTGTTTGTTTTTTGTGGGTTTTTTTTAAGGCTTCTGGCTCAATTACAAGAAACGGAGACTGCCTTTGATGAGTTTTGGATTAAGCATCAGCAGAAACTTGAGCAGTGTCTGCACCTTCGGAATTTTGAACAGAATTTCAGAGAGGTGAGAACTTCTTGGTGGTGGTCAATATTTGGTAATACAGAAATGATGCAGAAGAAAATACTTCCCCCTCTTGTTTTTTCAGCTCTAGAGTGTGCTTGGAAGTTTCTCCAACCTTTTTCTTGTACATGTCCTTACTTGACATACTGCTATCTTTACTACCTAGAATACTTGCCTATAGAGGCATAATAGCTTCTCTTCTGCAGTCTTACAATCTTTTTTACTTCCATGGGCCCAGCAGTGTGTAGAGGTTCAAAAACTCCTTTGAAACCTGCTCTCCACTACAGAAGCATAATATGCTGTCTGCAAGGCTTTCATCTTTCCAGTAGGCCTTTTTATGGAACCAAGACGTAGCTAAAACCTTCTGGCTGAAATTGTCTCCAACACTGTGGGTGGGAAGTTGCAAACACACTGTTAGAAGCTGGGTGGAGGCTGAACTACAATTTTTACAGCCAGTTTCTGATCTCATGTTAGTTTAACTCATGTGCTTGGTGACACTTACAGTCTCTTTACACTGGTGTAGCTGATCTCAGGGCACAGCCCCTGTGTCTCTGTGGGAGCAGTGCTCAGAAAACCTCTTACAAGTGTATGTCTGTCTCAACCAACTGTTAGGTTGAGGACCTATCCCTCATGTTTTGCTGTTTATGTTAATGTTGCTTTGTATTAATGTCATCTGGTGAGAACAAGATCATAAATGTTTCCCGAGCATTAGTTTTCCTGTTCTTTTTTTTCTCTTCAGTAGCCTATTTCACTGCCTTTTCTTTGCATTTGTTTTCATTTTGAATTGCGAGTAAAGGCAGGCTGACAAAAAAAGTTATTTGTCTCTGTGCCCAAGTTATCCCATAATGCGAATAACCTGACTAGAAATAGTAGCTAGCAGCTATTTACCTGATGGGTCTTCAGAGAGGTGGAATCATCTTCATTGATACATAGCTGTGTCTCATTTCAGGTCAAAGCAGCTTTAGATACTGTGTCCGAGAGACTGTCTGCTTTCAGAGATGTGGGAAACAGCTGTTCACATGTGGAACATATTTTGAAAGATCTTGCCAGCTATGAAGAAAAATCATGTGTAAGAACTCTCTAGGTCTCCTTAATTTCTAGTATGACAGTGCATGTGTGGAAGGGAACTGTGTTTGAGTATAACTTTTGAGCAGGAGCTTAAGCTGACAACAGGGCAGAAGAAGTCTCTCAGGTAATGTGTAGAAGGAATTTGGAACGAAGTCTTTAACCACTGGAGCAGCTCAGTTCTTAAAGAGCAGAGTGACCATTCACAAAGTCAGGGTGATCAATTTGTGAAGGAACTGCATGAAGTGTATGCATAGCCAAATTCTGCACTTAGCGATCAAGGGGCCACTTCCATTACAATTAAAGCCATTTATTTAATTAAATCTCAGAAATGAGAAAGCTGTGTATTGAATGTATAATATGTTAAAAGATGAACAACAGAAACATACACTCTGAACAATGTAGAAAAGGCAACTTATTACGATTTGTGCTTCACAATAAAATATATAGCTCTGTAAGTGAGGTTGTTGCTCATGGGGCTAAAGGGCTGGAGTTAGGTACTTTTTAATTTGGGTTCAGATTGCTGCTGTACTCCAAATTGTACGCTTATGCACACAAACATGCTGCCAAATACATAAGACATAGAAAGACAGTAGTGGTTCCTTTGCAGGGTGGCATATGATAAAATTCACTGATGTTTCTGAAGTACTCTGATACAATAAAGAATATCGCATTCAAGTTCTTGGGCATCTGGAAAGAAAAGAAATCATTTTGATTTATTAAGCAAGGCAGCTATTAACTAAAGAAGTATTCTTTATCAACATGTGTATTTACTGCATAAAACATTTTCATTGGTGTTGATTTTAAAAAAAGATGTACCTAAGTCATATTTGCTTTCTTAGGAAACTGTAGCAAAAGCCAGAATGCTAGCTTCAGAGGGTGATGCTTTTATTCAAAGCAATCATTATGCTGTGGACTCCATTATTCCAAAGTGCAGTGAACTTCATCAGCTCTGTGATGCCTTCACTACTGAGCTAGAACGGAGGAGGAATCTTCTTAACAAATCTCTAGAACTGCATGGCTTACTAGAAAAGGTAAATTTTGTATGAACAGTCCTGTTTTCCATATTGTTTACTAAAACCTCAGCCAATCAGCTGTCAAAATGGCAGGTAAAGCATACGTGTGTGCTGGAAGCTTTCTCCTTAAATAGTTTGAATACATCACAAGTAGAGGCATGAAATATTTTAGACCTCTTAGTGTTTGATGCTGATGTTGGTGCATTCTAAACCTGTTCTTTTCTGTGTTTCTAGTCTATGAAGTGGTGTGATGAAGGAATTTATCTGCTGGCTTCTCAGCCAGTAGATAAGTGTCAGTCTCAGGATGGTGCAGAATCAGCATTACAGGAGATTGAGAAGTTCCTAGACACTGGTGCAAGCAACAAAATCAAGGAGTTGAATAAAATTTACAGAGAGTATGCACACATCCTCAATGAAGACCTAAAGGTACCAGAAGACATTTATGTGTATCTATGCAGCCATTTGTTAATTTTAGAATTTCTCTCTTGCATGGCCATTGATAAAGCTAAATAATCAGTATTAGGAGTTATACCTGGGAATTGGAAAGCCAACACATTTCCGTACCTAAGGTGCAGGTCCTGTCATATCTTTGGAAAGGCATCAAGGGCTTCAGAGCCTTTTAATAACTACTTCAATTTTTCAGGTAGCAAATTGCTTTTAAAAGAAATTCTCCTAAGTGAATATTTGATTATTTTTTTTTTTTATTTTTATGTAGCAAAAAGGGTCCTGTCCTTAATATTTGTATGACTTCCGCTTTGTAGCTGCCTTGGTTTAGAACCTGAGAACATGCCCCTTTTCCTTCTGGTTGATCTCTTCATGTAACAGAACCATTAGACACTGCCAAAAAAAATTATTTTTTTTTTACAATTTTTAAATTGGAACCTGAAACCCACTGGTTTCTCTACAGCAAGCGCACAAAATGTTTTATGACATGATGGTCCAATTTTTAGGTGTACTAAATGACTGGAAATTATGCCTTGTTGGGAGTGAAAAGTAAGGTAATATTTTTATATGTGGAATAAAAGCAATTGCAAATCTATGTGCTGTAAATGGCAGTGTAGCTTATTAATGGGTCTCTGACCATTTATTTTCTTCATTTCTGTGGCAATGTTAGGAGCATGTGCAAAAGGTTTTCCAGAAGCAAGAAAGTATGGAAGAAATGTTTCAAAAGAGACAAGTAAGTCTTAAGAAACTGGCAGCTAAGCAGACACGTCCTGTTCAGCCAGTTGCACCAAGACCTGAAGCCTTTGTAAAATCTCCTTGCACCTCTCCAGGTAAGTAACTGTAGTAGCCTTTAATTTTTTTGCACTGTGCAGAGAAATTTAAAGAAACTTGCAGCTGTAATTTGTGGTTGCACAAACATCTGTGTCAGATCAGCTAAAGTTCTAACTGCCGTTTGATTTTGGTTTACGTGCTTAGGTCTTCAAAGGGAATACGTATCCAATTCAGAAAGTAGTGCACTTCGGAGGGTAAATTACAGAAGAGGAAAGGTAATTGTTTTTCTTTGTACTTTTCATGTTTGAGAAAGTCCTAATACAACAGAATAGTCAGGAACTTCAAGGAGAATGAGGCAATTCCACTGAAAAAGTGATGGTATTGCCCCTATTGAAGTAACTCTGGTGAAGCAGTCATGTGGATTGAATAGAGGCTGCTTTGTCACTGGGCTGGATGCGAGGGAAGGTAAAGTAAATAGTTGCCTATATTAGGGAAAATGTTAGGGGCAGCAAAATATAAAATCTATGAAGAGGAAACATTTTTTATTTGCCAGTAGTAACTGGCTAGTCTTAAAACTGGCAGAAGTGAAGAGGTAGTTGTCATTGGCTCCAAGACAGCTTCACCTGACCTAATGGGTTGCCATTCCCAAGTGGGGATGGTCTTCCTGTCCCGCCTCTGGCGAGGAAAGTAACCTGACAGCAGCACAGAAACAAGTAGTTTCCCACTGGGTTAGAGAGTTGAATCAACTCAGCGAAAAGTTCAGCAAAAGACAACGCAAGGAGGATGGCAGGACCACATGGCCAGTAGGGACAACAGTTCAAGACGGGGTTAGTTCAAGGGGGATTGAAAGCAGAACCTCTCACTTTTTCAGCAAGACATAATTAGGCCAGCCGTTACAGTAGAAGTTGTAAGAATGAACTTCTGTGACAAGGTATGAAGTTACCATAACGTTATCAGAGTACCTCATTTTAGATGGGAAAACAGACTAAGGCCAGTGTTGCCCCCAAGATTATGCTAATGCTCTGATGTTGTCTTCCTGGAAAGGTGCCTCAAGCCACAGTCTTTTCTAAGTTGGTCTTTCATGGAGAACTAACTCACTTATGCCTAAATGTTCTTATGTACTTCAAGACCTCCAGGTTGACTTGGATTTCTTTGCAGTGCTCTTGCAAATTGCCTTCATTTTTAATGGAGTACAGTCTTTCCTGTGGAAACTCATTCTGAGTGCAAAGCTCCATATTTTAAAGTGGTTTTCCCCCACCTGTGATGCCATGATAATTTTTTTGTTGTTTGTTTCCACCTTTAGAGTGAAATGACTGAACTCCATCAAAGCAGAGGAGGATCTACAATGGATGATGAAGAAAACCTAGCTGTGTTACGGCAGTAAGTATATTTTGATAAAAGAAAAATTCTTTTTCTCTGATTTGGTTCCAGCAAAGGCTGAGTTTGGCTAATGATTTGATAAGACAGGTATGCTTCTCTGAATTAAGTCTCAGTACTTTTTTAAATACTTTGGCTATGCTCTGTACCCGGAGGAAGATATTTCAGTCTGTAGCATTATTTATAGTTCATATAGTACCCAGACTGTAGCTTTGCAGGTGATGTTATGGCAGGATAACTACATATTTTCATTTCAGAGATTATATAGTTTTGAGTAGTAACCTCCTGTAAATCTATCAGAGTTCTTGGACTCCATGCTGCAGGAGACTTTGTCTTTTTATTTGACTTTTTAGTCCCTGTTTTGAAAACTGTACAAAAAAGATAATTTTCTTATATAAAATACTGAGTAGCATCACTTATATTAAAAAAGTAACTTACTTCCACCTGCAATGTGTATAGCAGAGCTTGTCTTTCTACTTGTAAACTGGATACTTCTACTGTATTTTCACCATTACAAGCATGTTAAATCATACAAAATCACAAGGGGAGGAGGTTGGGAGAAGCATGCTTGCTTAACCATTAGGGAAATTAAAGAAGCATTGTGATATTAAAAGGTTGCCCTAAATGCCATTAATTTAAAAGGGTTGGTGTAATTCTGAGTCTATATTTGATAGTTCTGTGCAACACTAACTCCAGCTCTTGTAATGTTTGTGAGCACAGCATAAGCAGGTTTTGTACATACAATGATAAAATGCTTCACTGCTTCAGCTCAGTTACTACAGCACTTAAAATGCTAGACTTGACTTATTTTCCTGTTTAAACACATTTTCAGAGATTTTAAAATGTTTTAAAAATATGTGCTTACCAATAAGGGTATGTAAACTGTTGACAGAACTACCCATGAAATATTACATTTTCCGTTACCTGGAAATTGTTCTTTTATTGTCTGAGGTAAAGTAGAAACACAAAGTTAATGTTGCCTCATTACTTTGCATAACTGAATAGGCCTGCCCTAATTGCCGTTCTTTGTCTACAGGCATGTAATGAATGAACTTATTGAGACTGAACGAGCATATGTGGAAGAACTTCTCTGTGTTCTTGAGGTAAAATTCAATTCCATTGCGGCTGTTAGTGAATCTATTTCCCTCTTCCATTTCATGGATGTTCTGATGCTTTCCTTATCGCTGTAATGTGTCTGCTTGTCCCATCAAGCAGTGTGATCATTACACCTCTCCTCATATTTTCACGGAGTCAGGAATGTGGATTTTTTTTTTCCTAGAAATATTCACACAGCTAGGATTTTGTATTAGAAAACACAAATTGGGCAGAAAACAACATACACCTAACAATTTAGGTGGAACATAGTGGGGTTTCTAATGATTGTTGATTCCTTTAAAAGTTCATTTCAGAGTCTCGGATCAGCTCCAAGAAGGTTATGTGTAACACGGGGAAGTGTATCTGCATCAAGAAAACCTTGTGTCAGAGGAGAAAATTTGTTTATTGCATCCCTCTTTGCATACCTTTAAGTGATCTTCCAAATGTCTTGGGTACAACAGTGGGAACAGAGTTTCTTATAATAATACCTTCATTCAAAACTGTAAAGAGAACAAAGGTTGATATTCCTTTTGCTCCTTACTTGTGAAGGCACAGTTGCAATACTGCTGAGTTGGTTGTAGAAATATGCTGCAGTATTCTGTGTTGTTCCTCAAGTCTGCTAGGTCTCCAGACATGGATGTGTCATGTTCTTGTAGTCTGATTTGTCTCTAGGGGGTGACGAAGCTGCAGATAACTGAGGTTGATGAACTGGAATTGGACCAAGCGGGTACTTTTGGTGTCCGTGCCAATGTTAAGCTCCTAAATAGAGCTGTTTGAAGTTATGGACTGGAAGTGATGATTTCTGGAAGCATACCTTCAAGTTAAAGGAATGTATGAGGGTTTTGAACTCCCGTCTTGCTTTTGCATAGTTTGTGCTCAGCTTCCCATAGCATTTATGTCCTGGGTCCAGTCCAAGTGCTAGGAAGTTGATGACAGTAGGATGGTTGTATCTGCTGTGCGGTAATAAGGAAAGGTAGGTTGGAGTAGACTTCAAGCATCACTTTATTCTGTGCTTTTGAATGCAATGCTATCTGTGGTTCTGTTCATAAAATAAAGACTCAAAATAGTTCAAGGATTTTTAGTCCTTATTTCTGCTACTGGAGGGTTGTTGCAGAATCTTTCTATTACTCTTGTTTTGCACAGAATATAGTGCAACCCTTGTCTTGCTACGCCAAGCTGTCTTGGTTTTCTGACAATGTGATAGACTCTAGAATACCCTGAACATGCCAGGCACACTTCGCAGTGCCTCCTTGCAGTTTAGGATTCATCTCTCATGAACTTGGGTGTTCGGGACTGCCAACAGTAATTCTGGATGAGATCCTTGCTGAAGTATGGTTCAATGGCAGTCTTCCAGCTTTTGATTAATGCTAGTTATTAATCCATACCTCTGGCTATTTTCCAAATTCCTTTGTTTCTCCTATTGTATTAATTTTCCCATTTATCCTGTAAAATAACCTGATACTCTTTTGTATGGCAAGTGTCTCATTATTATGTCATATTTAATTGGCATGCATTTTCTCCCTGCCAAAGCTCCCAGTGTAAAAAAAACAAGGTAGCTCCAAAGATTGGTTATTGGCAGTGTTTAAACCATGACAGTCTGAAACTGCTATAGCTGCTTTTATCCAAGCTTGATAGTTTTCCTTTCATTAATAACCATGATCATCTGCCTTTAGTCTGTGAAATCCATTTATTTTTCCTGGGGAAAAATATTGATTTAGTCTATTTTTACTTATTATATTTGATTCCTTTTTCCATTTATTTCAATGCTTTTAGAACAGCTTTCAGATGGAAGACTTAAGCAAAGCCTTATGTATTGTTAAAGGAAGATTAAATGATCCCTGTGGCTGCGTAGTGTAGTTTTCCCTCCTCTTTCTTAAAGCACAAGTACTGTATAGGTAATAAAACATGAAGAGGTTTTATATTACATTTTTAAAAGAAGCACTACATCAGTCTGCAGTGAAAAAAGAAAAATATCAAAAGCTTTTTGTAAATGTATGGATTCCATGCTTTTATTTTTTCAGAATTCTAAAGTTCTGAGCTCTGTCAGGTTAAAAACCAAATAAAATCTAATTGCTGTCCTACCCAATGCTTGCACTGTTCAGGCTAGGCTAGTTCTAGTTTTTGTAGTTTGGACATCACTTTGAAATTAAGAATCTTACTTGTAGGTGCACTTTTGCTTATCCTTGAATTCAATTTGCCAGTGTGTTATAATTCAGTGCAGTTTATTATATCAGTGCCACTAATGCAATGTTCTGTTACCTGCAAATAACTACAGACAGCTTGTTCCCTCATACTAATAGCTAAGACTGTCATGAAGGCTTGTGTGTGTACTGGGATTGCATCTTTAAATGCAGATGTGTAAAGTTTTAATAGAAAAAGTACAAACTATAGCTTATAAGCAGTATGGGAATGCATAGTCTTTGCTTGGTGGAAATGATTGCAAACTTGTTTCATCTTAACTAAATTTGCAGTAACTATTCAAGTGTCTTACTTAAAGACTATCAGTGTGTCTTACTGGACTGATGGAAAACCAGAATTTGTATCCTTTCTTCATGATTAATACTGAGCTCTTTCTTTGCTATATGTCAGCCTGCAGGCAGACTGCCTTGTCAATGACAGATAAATACTGTAAGTAAAGGGATCTAATCAGTGTGCCTCTCTCCTGTGCGGCAGGGTTATGCTGCAGAGATGGACAACCCCTTAATGGCTCATCTCATTTCACCAGAACTCCAGAATAAGAAGGACATCTTGTTTGGGAACATGGAAGAAATTTATCACTTTCACAACAGGTAAGGATTTGCATTCAAATCTAAAAATAGCATTTGGATAAGGTTTTTTTACTCTATTAATCTGAATTAAATTGCTAGGCAATCTTTACTGAGTCATACTTGGCTATCTGACATGTCAAAATTGGTGTTGCATAAAAGAGAAAAAGCAAAATATCTGTAACAGGTGAAGAAAGCTGTCTGAAGCTTCATATAAATAACTGCGGTACACGTAAAATTATTGCATTGTGATCCTCTTCCTGAAGAAAGGTATTGGGGTCTGGTTAAAACCTAATTAAATCAAGGTTGGGGGTTTGGTTGGGATTTTTTTTTGGGGGGGGGGGGTATGAAATTTGCTGTGGGAAGTAAATTGTGATTTTAAACCACAAATTCTCAACTCTTATATCTGGTCAAGACTGGTTAATTTTACACTTGAGGGACCTCTCTGTGAAGTTTCAATCCTTGCTACTACAGAGGTATTTCTTCACAGGATAATATTTAAATTGGTAGAAAAGAGAAGTTAAGCATGTTAAATAGTTTCTTATTCCAGTAAAACTACACTGGAAGTTTTGCTGCTGACTTTTTTGAGTGATGTTTTTTATTTGAATTTGGTTTGGTTTGGGTTTTTTGTTTTGTTTTGTTTTAAGGTTTTGGTTTTTTTTGTTGGGTTTTTTTTTTGTTTTTTTTTTTTTTTTTTCATCTGGGGAGGTAGGATTTGGTTCGTTTTTGCTTTGTGATGTTTAGTAGTATTTGGAAGGAAACCCTAAACTTATGCTTTACAAATACTTCTGCTGAAACAAAATCCCCCTTCCTTCCCCAATCTTATATTTGATTGTAGCAATACTATGTTAAAAGAAATTAGTCAGAATATTTTAATATGGTATCCCTTTTTAAGTACATGATCTAGAAGCCTTTTTTTAGTTTTGTAGTAGAGAATTACAACTCTGTTTCCAAAAGTTTAGAAGAATTGCAAGATGTAAACGTTTACTGCAACTTTTTTGATGTATGCTCTCTGCTCCTCAGAATATTCTTGAGAGAACTAGAAAACTATGTCGAATACCCAGAACTAGTAGGACGATGCTTTCTGGATCAGGTATGTGTCACCTTTTGCTGGCTTTTCATTCATAAGCCCCCCTGTAGGGCTGGCACATATGACAGTGGTCTTCATGTGATTGCCACCACGTCCCCTTTGTCTTGAATGGGTAACATATTGGGAATGTAGATGTTAATTGAGAGGAGGGATATTTTCTGCTGTGTGGGGTGATTAATTTTCTGAGAAAGAGCTACTACCTTGTTGAAACGAAACCACTTTATTGAAGTAGCATTTAGGAAAACATGGAGTCATGCGCTGCACTGTTTCACATCACTATAAATGGTTGGTTTACTTGGGTAGATTTCTTTACTGGATATTTTTCTTGTCATTCTTTTCTGTTTTCTTTAAAGAGAACACCTTAACAGAGTTAAGTCCAAAATATTTTTATTCTGAAAAGAGAAAGCTATGCCAAAATAAAACCATTTTTGTTCTGGCATTTATTAAACAATGAGTCTCACCCATAGCACGTGCGCCAAAGGGCTAAATAGGAATCTGCTTATGGAAATCAATCTCCTGTTGTTGCTGCCTATTGATGCTCTAAAACTCTTGGGAAAAGCCATCTCTCTCCTCCTATTTACTGACTACATCCATGGAGATGCTATTGCCTAAAACTGAGGGACAGAAGTACTTCTGTGCTTGCCAATTTCCGGTCTAGTCTTTCCTTTATAGTTACTATGACAGTTTCAACAGTTTTATTTCGTTTTGCTTTTGACAAGTACTGAAGTGATAAGGGGCAACAAACTGCTTGGTCTACCTTAGTCCAATTCCCAGGCCAAAACACATTCATAAAATGTATACAGGAAAAGGGGAAGAATTTTAAATAAGTTGCACAGAGGAACTCATGGTTGGGCATACACAGAAGTATTTTGCATTTTGTAATAGAAATATATTTGTAAAGAAAATATATGCTGCTTTGTTAGTTACTTAACATGCAACTGAAGCAAATATTAATAGGAACATCTTATTCTAATCTTCCAAGTACAAAATTAGTAGCCATTACAAAATCAGTGATTTTCAATAATTGTTTATTGCTTGGGTTACCTCAAGGAATTGCTTTTTGTCATTATTCTTTCATAGCCTTATAGATTATTAGAAAAAAAAAAATCTTATGAACTTTGTATATTAAAGTTACAAGAATTTATTAAGTTTTTGTTTGTATCCCCAATTTCAGATGGAAGATTTCCAGATTTATGAAAAATACTGTCAAAATAAGCCTCGGTCTGAAAGTCTGTGGAGGCAGTTTTCAGATTCTGTGTTCTTTCAAGTAAGATTGCTTGAGTGTCTAAAATAACTGTGGTGTTGGTTTTGCTGTGGTTTGTTTGTTTTATTTAATCATCTCAAGAATAAATAACAAAATATTGATAAATATTGATTTTAAAATATTGATTAGTGTTCTGATGGAATCCAACACTGATTACAGGAATGTCAAAGGAAACTTGACCACAAGCTCAGTTTGGACTCATACTTGCTGAAACCTGTTCAAAGAATAACCAAATACCAATTATTGCTAAAGGTACGTGTTACTGAAGTATAATGCTAAGCACATTTTGTGCATTTGGTTTTTTAAATGCTGCTTCTCTCAGCCTGCTGAAGAGAAACCTAAAAGCTCGTGGACGGGTGTATAAATCAAATCAGAGAAAATCTCTATCAGCTTTCAGCTTGGCTCTTTCCTCACGCAGCCAAAAAGCTGCTAGTAGACAGGCAAATGTTACACAGGGACACTGTGTAACTGCTTTTGCCCTTATATTTTGGCTGAAGAGAAGAATGGAAAAATGATCAGGGGAAACAGGAGGACCAAGAAACTTTTGCAACAAAGAAAACATAGTATCTGAAGTACTTGTTACTACAGTTATAGTCGCCAGTTACAGTCACCTTATCTGTATTACAGGATTTGGCCTTGCTGGGTTCTATGATGCACGTTCTAGGAAATGTACTTGACCAAGAGCACTGTATGGTGTTTTTACAAAGGATGCTGTTGTGATTTACTTCAATGTGCTAACATTTGAGAGAAAAAAATGAGGGCAATATCCTATCATAAATTTTCAAATTAATGTAAAAGTTTTTGCCATGTTTGAAGTAAGAAATATTTCCCACATAACCACATGTTTAGGTAATTGTGTTTAATAGTAGTTTAAAGAAATTGCCTTGCACCAAATTTACTCTGACGTTAAAACTGGGCTGAAATTAATAACTTTTAAAAATTAATTACATTAAGCTTATGCAAAGAGAGGATTATTGGAAAGGTTTTTGATTTGAAGTATCTTTACTGTCCACAGTCCACAAGTAAAGGCTTATTCTCCTACTATTAAGTCTGGGGGGTTCCACATGAACTTGTAGCTATGTTTATGTGGATCAAATTGGAAGACACACTTTTGCCAATAGGCTCTTTGGAGAAGGGGTGATTTTAAAAATGTGCAGTAAGGTTAAGTCTATTACTAGCATCCCTGGCCTCGCCATAATTGAAATAGTAAATGAAATTGACCTATGTGTTTACATATGTTGTTCACTTCCAAAAAGTTACAGATATCATTTTTGGGGGGTTTGTTGTGGGGTTTGGGGTTTTTGTTTTGGGTTGTTTTGGGTTGTTGTTTTTTTCCATTGTGATGAAAAAATGGTTGCAAAGTTAGGTTTGTACAATTCTTAGGTAGAGTTTACAAAACCTCTAAGTGAATGAAATGTATTTGGCTAATCAGCAGCAGAGATGAGAATTAAAACCTTAGGGTCTTCTGAGTTCCAGACAGTATTTAACCAACTAGATCATAGGTATAAAACTTTAAAAACTTTGCCCAAATTCAGTGTTAAGATGTGAATGTTTCTAGTTCCTGATGTTTCCAAAGCTAAATAAGTATGTTGTCATTCCCTGCCCACTCAGGAAATGCTGAAGTACAGCAAAAACTGTGAAGGTGCTGAAGATCTTCAGGAGGCATTAACTTCTATACTGGGTATTCTCAAAGCAGTTAATGATTCTATGCACCAGATAGCTATTACAGGCTACGATGTGAGTAACAGTATTTTTACTTACTTTTAAATTTCTTTCCACTCATTTCTTAGATATATGCACAGCATATCCTATATGCATACTAATAATGAGAAGAGCGTTTTACAAAAAGTTTCTTTAAACTGAATTGTGTCGTGAAAATCATAGTATCAGCAACGTTGGAATAATGCAAAATGGGTCTGTCTGTACTGTTCTGAACTTTTCCTCCTATGAATAATATTTTGCTCTGTCTCTCCAAAGATGTCTTGATTGTTTGTTTGTTTGTTTGTTTTTTCCTTTGATCTACTTGACGCTTGAGTTAGAGACTGAAAATTGTCATTAAGAGGTTGGTTTAGGATACGGTCAAATGGAGTTACTACTAAATTTTTATATCCATGTGCAAAACTACACTCAAAACTTCCAGTAAAAGAAAAAGAAATCACAACAAGCAGCTGTGGAGTAGAGTTTGGGGGGCAAAAACCCAAACAGCCTAATATGCATAGTGTGCTTTCCCCTCTATATGTAGATCTGTGTAGCTCTGCTACTGGTACTATTGACTGTAAATCCTGCCTGACAGTGTTTGGGAATAAAAATTATGTGTAAAAATCCAACACTGACTTTACTTCTGTTATGTTTCCAAACCCAACATAAACACTGATGTGCGAGATTACTTGGAATGACAGAACTTGTGAAGACCGGTTTGGTATATGCTTTTTAGTCTGATGTTATCTCTTTGTACTTAAAAATATCACTTTTTGTTTTTGTTTTTGTTCCAGGGTAACCTGAATGAGCTAGGCAAGCTTTTAATGCAGGGATCCTTCAATGTCTGGACTGATCATAAAAAGGGTCACTCGAAGGTGAAAGATTTGGCACGCTTCAAGCCAATGCAGCGACATCTCTTCCTCCATGAGAAAGCAGTGTTGTTCTGTAAAAAGCGAGAAGAAAACGGAGAAGGATATGAGAAAGCACCTTCTTATAGCTACAAACACTCCTTAAATGTAAGACACTTGGCAGTCCAGCAAGGTCGAGGTACTATGAGTTTAGCCTGCAGTAATACAGCATTTACTTTTTTGTCTGCAAAGATGTGTTAAGTTCTCCACTGGGAACTTAACCCTTTCAGGCAGGCCTAAGTGGTGCTGCAGGTCTGTGTTGCTTCCTATTAGAGAGCTGGAGGAGAGGGGGTGTAAATTACCCTCTGAGACTCCAAGTCCAAACTATACTAGTCTAGCTGAATACAGAGCAGGGTAGTATAAAATAGATCTGAGATTTTATGGTCTGGATTTTAAAAGCAATGTCTTGTGGGTCAGTTTCAGTTTAAATCTTTCTTTCCTCCAAGGTAGCCAAGCTGATACAAAGCGCTAAATCTCATACGTCCAACATGCAGATCATGTGTTATTAGCTATTCTTTTCCTAGAGCAAGAAGCCAAATGTGTTTTTCCTTTCCAGAAATAGGGTACCAGATAATACCAGTAGCAGCCTGTTTCCATTGCTTCTGTAACAATGTGATAGGTTAGCTTTTGTTCTTTTTGCTTTCAGATGGCAGCAGTTGGAATAACAGAAAATGTCAAAGGTGATGCAAAAAAATTTGAAATCTGGTATAATGCAAGGGAAGAAGTTTACATTATACAGGTAAATAAATAACCACGTCTGAAAAAAAGAAAAAGAGAGAAGGCAGGGGGAAGTCTAACTGTAAGAGCTGGAATTTTCTTCCACTGGTTTATCACTAATAGATAGTGATGAGGAAATGCAGCAAATCCGAAACCACCACCGGATTAATCCGTAAGGTAGTTTCTTAATAGATTTCAATTGCAGAGTCTTTGGAAGATTGGGGGGTGGTAGGGGCAGGGTGATGCAAGGGGTGGAGTAATGGTGTTTTACAACATCCATGGAGAATATTGTGTGCACCATTACTACTGCTCTTACTGGAGAGCCAGTGTTTGACTGTAGCACATGCACAGCCTCAGCCTTAGTGTATTCCACTTCTAACAACTAGTTTCTGTTGACTAAGGACTGGAGACGCAGCTCTGTGTGTCTCTCTTGAATGATTCCTCCAAGGCTGTGCTTTGGAATGCAACTCTGTAATAAGTCTTCTACGCTTGATGGCTGCTTGTATTTGTTTTCGGGTAGGCACCAACACCTGAAGTTAAAGCTACTTGGGTAAATGAAATAAGAAAAGTGCTGACGAGTCAACTGCAGGCATGCAGAGGTAAAATATTTTGGATGTACATATTTTTTTAATTTCTCTTCTCTTTGAACTTCAAAACCTGCACTGTATATCTTCACTGTATAGGACTGCAGAAATGAAAAGCTTAAAACACAAATCAGTTTTAGTAGTTCTTTTACTTTCTTCCATTACAGAAGCTAGTCAGCACAGGACACTAGAACAAACACAAAGTTTACCTCTACCAGCATCATCTTGTACAAGGTAAGCACTATGCTGCCAAATTTGCCTGGCTGTCATGTAAATATACTAATACACCTCATTTGCAGTTCTTCGTTACTCCTACCCCTTAATACTGCCCCCTTTATGCTTTGTTTTTTGGTTTTTGTTGGTTTGTTGTTTGTTTTTTTTTGGGGGGGGAGGTGAAGAGGGAAGAAAGTAGGTTTCTTCCTACTATAAAGATGTGAACTTTAGAGTTTATACGTCTCCAGAACTGTTAAACTGAGGAGCAGTGGCACAGACTTTGCCACTTGATAGAGAACACATAAAGCCAATTTTCTGTGCCAGCCAAAATCCTGATGGTATTATGACTCTGTTTGTTGAAAAGCTAATTATATACTTTACATCCCAGATAAAAGAGTTATATGGAGCAGCCTTTTCCTTCTTTCTTTGTTCTTTTCTTTCACCTGGATTATATTTTATTTCCTTTCCCAGTGTCTTGCTATCTTCCTGTTTGGTTGGTTGTTTTGTGTGGTTCCCCTGGCCCAGGCATTATCTTTTCTCTCTTCTTTGTTCTGTTCCTCCAGTTTCTTTTATTAAAAGTGATGCGTTGGTTAGTTCAGTGTCCCAACTTCTGTGTCAAGCTTTTCTTCTTTTCCTATTTTTAATCACTCATGCTATATATTATTCTGCTTTTACCTTCTATTCACCCCTTCTCTGACACCTCTGTTTAATCCTCTGCTACTCACTCTTTTTTAGTAAGTGTATGTATATATACCCCTAGAACCCTTTGTGCTGACATCTTCAGTCATTCCCACATGGTGTGTGCTCAAAAAAGTATCAGTAGCTCTTTCCCCTGCATCTTTTATGAAGCGACTTAATCACTCAGAGAGAATTTTTCAGATGTATAGTATTTGGGGGATGTCTTTCTCCAGTCCATTCGCAAATGGAGTTGTGATTGGAACCCAACCACAAGATCCAACATATGTTCTTCAACCTATGTATCCAATCAGTTCTGGGTTAAGAGCTTCTGAAGGGCAGCGTTTATTCCTTTCTTTTCCTTTTGTTTGTTTCCCTTAGTACCTTCAGGAGGAACCTCTCAGCACAGAATGTGTCCTGTAGCTGAGAATGAATGGAGGCTGTCCTGAGCTGTCTTTTCAGTAGCTCCCACTGCCATAATACATGCAGTTGGTTAGGGGAGCCTTTCTCCTTTGTATGTGCTCATGGTCTTTAAATGCACAATCGCCAATGACTTTTTCAGTCCTGGAAGCTATGATCTGGGAAGTAGTTAAAAAATGGGTTTCAGCGTAGGTATCTGTACGTATGTAAAAGGTATGTAAAAGGCAGACCATGACCAAAGGTATGTAAAAGGCAGACCATGACCAAAGGTCATCACCCCTGTCCAGACCTGAATTTGCTGATGATGGATTGATTGTCTTAATTTTCTTCCAATAAACAGTCCTTCAAGGAACCACATCAGAAACACCAAAAAAACGGAGGAGAGAAAAGCTGATCTTGCAAGTCTAGAAAGTTTTGGCACCACAGTAGCACCAAAGTACCCTGAGAAAGGCAAAGGTGAGTTTACACATATGTATTTTGTTGCCTTTAATTACAAAGAGCATGCCTGCACTGCAGATGCATAGGCAGATCCACCAGCAGAGTAGACACGGTAGTCCAGGGAAATGCTGCATTACACCTGAATGAGCAGGGCTTTGCTGCTTTCAGCCCTAAGGCAGCCCACCCACAAAGTGCTACCCACTTGGCAGCCACATGCCACTCCCATCTGCCCATAGCCTGGGGTTTCTGTGTTCCACTGTGTGGTGTGTACAGGCCCAAAGCCACTTTGAATGAAGGGTAGCCAAAAGGAGGTGGGAACTATGCGTTATGAAGCAGATCTCCTAGAGCTGCCCAGCTTCTCAAGGTTCTCTTCCTCTGGATAAATTTCTTGGAATTACCTGTTCTGAAAAGCTTTGGTGGTGTTTTTCTTTATTCTTTTTTTCTCCAGTTTTGCTTCCCTCCATGGAGATTATTTACTCAACCAGTGGCAGTACAAGCTCCTGCACATTGAGAACAGTTCGCCACTCAGGTTCTTCTATTGTACCTGGACTTTCAGTTGTCCTTTCTCATCCTACCATGCAGATTCCCTGTCAAGGCTGCAAATGATTTTTTGCCTTGATCTTTTCATGGCCTTCTCCCCTTTCTTTCTGTGTCTCTCTCTTCCTTTGTAGATGACACTACCTCAGAATGCTCTGTACTGTCAAAAAAGCGCTTTACACTGCAGGGCTTTACTAACCTCAAAAGTCAGAAAGGTAATTTAAAAATAAAAATTAAAAAGGCTAGACTGTTAGACTGTTTTCTGTTTAAAGCTGTAATTGAAGTATCACTTCGTGTGTGTGTGTAGTGTGACAGATATGCCAAAGGTTGCTCTCCGAAGTTCAAGCTAGGCTCCTGAGTCACCAAACCTGGCAAGGAGATATCAAGAGAAACCAGCTCCAGAGTGGGAGGGCATGATGCAGCTGGGAAAAGTGGAGCTGTTGGATTTGAAAGGGAAGGAGTGCAGTTTCCAATGCCTTCAGTCTCATTATCAAGTCCAAGGAAAGAGTTTGTAGTGCCTCATTCCTGTAGGAAAACTAGAGGAAGTTAGTTGTCTTCAGATCAGACACCTGGTCTGCTTCTGTGGATCTGCCCCAAATGCACTTGTACTTGGCAAAAAGGAATCAAGGTTTTCTAGAGTATTTCTCTATTGGCACCTTTGCTAACAGACTTCCCAAAACATGGCTGCAGCAGAACGTATATGACAACATTGTTTTGCTGAATACAAAATTAAATAATAATTTTCCTATGTTTCTAGAAATTATCTTTGCTTTTTTTTTTCCCTAAAATGGGCAAAGGGAGTTTGAGACCGTTCTTGCTTCCTCCTGCCAAGTAATCACACTGATACATTCACTTCTTGCTTTAAACAGTTGTCTCTGAACAGTATGAATTGCATTAAGATGATGGCACTTGTTCAAGAGCATGATGTATTTATTTTTTTTCCCCCAAGCATCTCTTCTGAATGCCTTTATAAAATGTCATTACCTTTGAGTTATTTCTGGAGAGACTCTTGGAGGGTCTTGTATCTGATGCTGGTGAGGTTAGCTCTAATATCACATGCTTGCCTTGACAGAAACTCCATCTGCTTCTGTTAAAAGCCAGGCATTGCCAATGATCCTTCTTACAGGACCAGGTATTGCTGTAGTACTAGATTTATATAAAAACGATTGCTTAACTTGGTAATGTTTGCCTCAAATTGAAATTAAATGCATCCGGTTCATGTCTATTTCATTTAGAAAAGACTGCAGAAACTTTCTTCTACTACTATAAAATGAATTTGTCGATTTAATCTCCAAATAAATAATATCTCCAATGTCTCCAAATACATGTAATTAATTTCTTCTACTGTAATTGACTAGTGACAGCTAAAATTAGGGAGATTACAGAAACCCACTTGTTTTCCAGTGTAAACTCAAAGGTATTTAGCATGCACTCCACTTACTCTCTTTTTTCCAGTTCTTCAATATCTCTCTTCTGTGTTTTTTGCCTATTCATCCTCCTTCAGCTTCTCCTACCAGTCCTGACAAAAAAGCTAAACGGCATGAAGTAGTGAGTGACCCAACTCCTTTTGGTTTAAGAGGTATAGTGATACGACATCTTGTATTCCACAAATTTCCACACGTCCCTTGTGTAATGTGTTACATCAGAGTACCAGGGATACCTATATGATGCTGTTTTGTTCAGCAGTATTGATATCAGCTGAGTTTTTCCAAGTGCATCTGTCAGCTTCCATATATATATATATCTTGGTTTTGATAGCACAACTGGTTGAAGTTTTACCTTGACATCAGATGAAGTAGCATATGTCTAACTAGTTTTTAGGAGACAACAGAAGGAAAGAGATCTTCTGCTGAAGAAATACCCAGAATCTGGGTGTTTAATGGCAGTACACAGGCATCGAGTTGCTATGAGACACATGGTTTTCCAGTTAGCATCCTCCTGTCACTGTGCCTCTTGTGGAGATGATTTAACTTCTTAAAAAGAAAAAAAAAAATATCCAATCCTCATGTACTTTTGTCAGAGTGAGGATCATCACTGTCATGCCATGTGATTCCATTTTAGATCTGCATTTATTACTGTAGTCACAGTCCTGTTGCATCTTTCTTTGGGTGACAGTAGGCAATTTTTACCACCCTGTAAACCCAAGATGATTTAGCTGAACCCCATGAAGCAGTTTGCCTCCTGTCCTCCCAACCCACAGCCAAGCAAAGACTAGAAAAGCGTTTCCGTTAAAGGACCCATTTCTAACCAGCAAGGCTGTTGGTGAAAGCTTGAGTACAAATCCCTGGGGCTAATTGACTAGAGGGTACAAGGAGAGCAGTCCCCCTCTTCCTGACTCTCTTTCCACCACCTCTTTTGGAAAATATTATTCTAAAGATTAAGCTCTTTCAAGCCCTACCATTGTCCTCCTCTCCAGGTTTCCATAACCTTTGTCTTTCTCTCACCTGTGGAAATGATGCAGGTCCAGCTGCTGTGCTGAGGAAAATATGTCACACCATTCACCTCATCTGAGCAGCAGGAAATATAATCCCAGGCTGGATGCATGCAGAAATTCCACACGTATAGCTACGGGAGTTACAGGTTAACTTCCTGCAGGTAGCAGTCAAACCTCTTGAGATCTCCAGGCACCACAGAAATTCTGAGGGCCTGAAAATGTTGTCAGAAAGCAAAGAGTGTTTTGTGGTGTGCTGCACAAATGCTGGAATTTGTCAGGGTGGACGGTCCTTGATCATTGTTAATTTACAATAATATTGTTGGGTCCTTGGAACAGCCTTGTCTGATTTGCTGTCCTGTCCAGCAGCCCCTCACTTTATGAAACGCTAAACCTCATAAGTGAATTTAAAGCATCTAGTAACTCCCCTTTCTGTCTTGCATCTTCCAATCACTTTTCTGACACTTCTTCTTTTCTTCCCCAATTCAGAGGGATGAACAGGCAGCTGACTCAGGCATTTTAGGATGAAACCACACCAGGTGGTGACCGCAGCTCCCTGGTGCAGAGTGCATTGCCCCTACTTGTTTCCTTTCACTGCCATATTGCTCAGACTTACATCGCAGTAAGCTCAAGAAAAATGAATTAGTTACAGAATCGCATCTTGCAGATCAATCCTATCTCTGAAGAAACCTGTGGGCCCATTTCTGAAGAGAAGTGGTTAATGAATTCTTGAGTTTCCTGCCACCTTCAAATCTAAACTCATTTCTGCATAACCTTGTCTTTTCTTGAGACTGCCTGCCATTTTCTTACCTTCCCTGCCTTTATAGGGAGCTTTGATTTAGTCACACCGTGCAGAATATGCGTGCGCACGTTGAATGTGGATGCATAATTTTGATGCCTGTAGTTAGTTAATATGAATATGACCACAGTGACCTCTTCCCTTCTGTGCCCAGGATGAGATGGGCTTTTATACAGACTTGTTAATAGTAGAGTGCCAGCTTGTATGAGGAGTAGGAGTATATTGTTGCTATGGGCAGGATCAGGCAGGTGTGTTCTTACCTACATCAGCACAATATATGAAAAGAAAGAGGCTGAGGAATAAGAGCCATTACCCAAAATGTTCCAGATGAGCAAGCCAGTGAGTATGATGCTACAGGCAGAGCAATTACAGTGATTTCACTTTCTTTTGTGGTGCTCATTGGTTCTGTTTCTAATGAGAGTTGGAACAATTAGGTGAAACCAAGGGTTTTTTGGTTGCATTATTCTTAACTTGGAAATAATGGAAAGATTTTCAGCTGTGTCCCACAAATCAACTAGATGATGTGAGCTTCCGAGGAAATTTTCATGGAATACAGCTGGAATTTATTGCTCAGTTTCTTCACAGATGGAAGTTCATTCTTAACACTGGACAAGGCCAAATGGGTCAATACTTGTAACCTTGTGCAGGTCCATCCAGCAGCGCAGGCGAGGTAAAAGTCCCACTCCGTTTGGTGTGCTCTGGGTGTGATTTGTTTCTATGATTCTTAGATTGCTTTGGCTGTACTGTGGTGATGCTCAGGTTTTTTCCTAATGTACTGGCATGACCAGCCATGTGACAAATGCCTCAGAAGCAGTGAAGAGCAAAAATGCTGATGCTTTCTTAAGTAATAGTTAGATAAAAGTTGGGAGGTTTGATTTTCCTTTCATTCTTTTCAATGAGTTTCATTGTTACCACCATTTGGCTTGAACCAAAATCTTATTTACAAATATTTGTCTGGTTTATTACAACATTTTTTTTCTTTATAAACTCAACACACTTATTAGCAGCTGCTGACCTCAGTGAACAGCATCTTACTAGTAAAACTTACTGTAATTTTATTTGGAAAAGGGATTTTGTGCATTCTTGATATGATTCAGCTTGATTACATAAATGAAATCCCTTACCCTGAGAGAGCAAAAGGAACACTTAGCAATAAATGACAGGCAGGAGACTGCTCTTGTGATGTTTGGTGGCTTAGAACCAAGATAAGTCAGCGTGATTAAGTATCCTTGTGTCAGCATGAATACCCTTAAAGAATATGCTGCCTTGTCAGGTGAAGTACAGACTGCAGGTAGTTTGTGTTGAATTTCTTGACAGTTCTAAGTGCTCAACAGTTTGAAGAAGGCAATGCCCGTGCATCTGTTGTCCCAGCAGGCTGGTTAGGTTGCTTCAGGTGGTAATCCTGTGTGTTCATCCTCTTCCTATAAAGTGTACATTCCTGTCTTCGACCTCCTCCCAAGAAAAAGAATATCTATCCATCATTCATCTTTGTGTAAGAGAGAAATAGTTGCTTTTTTGTTGGGAATTTGCATTCTTTCCATCTGTTTCCCTCTATGTAAATCCAAAGGGCCATATTCACTGCTGTGCATTGCCACAGCTGATGGAAATGGGCCAACTTTTGCCAGCTGTGAATTTCACTCAGTGGCTGTAATAACTTCTTTGTGTTCGGTTTTTCTCCAGTTTATGTTGATCACTTAAGACCTTCTCAGTGGAAAGAACGCTTCTCCCAGTCAGTGGCTCATTGCTGCAGAGTTAATGGTTGGCTGTTTGTTCCCTAAGGTTGGGCTAAAACATCTCATTCTCTTGATGCATCTGAAGAAAATGATGGCTGGTCTAGTGCTGAAGATCCGCTGAATTCATCGGATGCGGAGGAAGAAGGAGGAGGAGGGGGGGGAGGCGAGATGAAGCTGGTAACCAGAAATGCTTTCCTATTGAGCTAAGCAAATGATACCGATACCTTGTGTGTGGCTTTTGCCTTTTGAAGCTTGCGGGAAGGAAAGTGTCTGGCTTGAAATCCTCAGCTGGACAAAATTCTCTTAAATCAGCTTTGTTTGTACCTTGGGAGTGTCCATCTGTGCCTTTGTAAACCTGAAGACTAGTGAGACCGTGACTGCTTATGCCTTAGTACGGCAGTTAGGCGATGACATGCTCAGCTACCATGTCAACAGCCTTTGACACATCATGCTGCAGTTGTTTGCCAGATGATTTGGGGGGGTTTGTTGTTATTTTGAATTTTTTTCTGTAGACATTTGAATTAATTGTTGCAATGGAAACATTTCACTGAATGTTTTGCAGGGGGTGAGAATTCATGTGCTGAATTTGCATGTAATTGAACAGCAAAGTTTTACTGTCTCTGTATGTATATTTGCACTGTCCTCAGCATGTATGTGCATAAGAAAGAAGGGAGGAGTACCCTAATTTCATAACAAAAGCTGCAATGTCACTTGAAATACTCAACAGAAATAATTTATGTTTTTCCTGTGTGTTCATTTAGACTCCTGGCAAATATACAGTTGTGACTGATTATGAGAAAGGAGTTTCTGAAGAATTTACAGTGAAAAGTGGAGATCTAGTTCAACTGATTCGTGAAGGGGAGGATGGACTCTGGTACGCAGATCTGTGTTTGGAAATTTTTATAGGCAGAACTGTGTTTGGAAGACATAAGACAGATGTTTAGGGCAAACTTTCAAAGGCATCAAATGAAGCAACCTGACTTCTTATTTTTTTATATTTTTTTTAGGTATATGAAGAACCTGAGCACTGGTAGAGAAGGTTGGATTCCAGCAAACAACCTGCTGATGCTCATAGGCAATTCCAAATCAGCTCAGTCTTTAAGCAGCTCTGGTAGGCTATTTATCTTAAATGAGATGATTGTGTCTCTGGAGATTCCTATTATCAAAGAAAGTTGTGAAGAACAACCATATAATATTTTATTGGGTTTTTTTTTTCTTTCCTTTTCCCAGAATCAGGCACTGCCTCCAGCACTTTGAGCACATCGTCAAGTTGCAGTGATAGCTGCAATGCCAGCTGCACCAGCTTCTCAGACATTAAGGGCTAACATTAAATTTCCACCCCACCTTAATGGAAGGTAATTCTGGAATTTGTTATTTTGTGCCAAGTTCTGGACACCGAAGACTCCAGTGCAGAACCACCAGTTCAATGTCACCAGCCCTGAGTATTTTCAGTGGCGATTTTCACAGGTTCTCTCAGAAGATCCCAATGAAAAGCGCATGGAATGTGAAGTTGTAGATAAAAGATTTGAAATAAGGTCTTGCAGAGGCTTCTGCTCTAGAGTCTGAAGCTGCAAATTTCTTAGCATAAAACACATTTTCTCACTGATACACAATCAGGTTTCTGCAGAACTGTAGCATTTTGTAACAGCCAGAATCTGAATGTGAGCGAACTAAATGTGTTCAGTGCTAAATCCTCATTGTAAACTAATAACATAGCAATCGCTGTACAGGATAGTATGAGGAAAATAAATCAGAGTTTACAATTCCTCCTCCCCAAAATCCCCTTTCTCCAAGGATGTACCTCAAACAGTGCAGTGAATGGGACTCTTACAGCAACCGGGAAGGAGGTTTGCTCTAGCCTTTTCTCTTCTCTTGCATATTCAGGACATTCTTCTGCTCCCTAGAGACTGGGATGCAGACATGACCAATTCACTGACCACAACAGCGTCAAAACAAGCTATTATTTTATCCTTTCCAACCTTTAATGATGTGTGCAATGGAATAGCTGTTTTCTGAGGTATTTTGGCCTCACAACCAAATTCTTTACCAAGATCACTGTGTTTACATAGCCTTGGCAACTTAGTAGTATACTGTTTTTCTTACACAGGTGCACAATGAAGCACATTCTTATTCATTAAATTATTTCTTAATAAATGGTAATTATACAGTTACCTTCAGCTTTCACAATTAACATGCAATTACAGGCAGAGGAAACTATGGGTCAAGAGCCTTCCTTGAGACAAACCTATGAGGGCCAGAAATTGGGTGTATTTTTAGGCAATAGTGCAGTTACTCAGAGGAAAAAAAGAGCGACATAATTATTCTATAAAAGGGGAGCATGGGAGAAAAAAACCTGTATTAGGTAAGAGCCAGGTTTATGCTACAGATAATTATTTTAATTTTTTTAAAAGGAAGGGTGATGTTAAACTTGCCATTTTTTGAAGGTATGATGTAAGCCAATGCTGTAAATTTTCATGTTGTCAGATTTCTCTGCATGTCATCCTTATAAACAGTTCAAAACTGTGTGCATGTATGGAATATTGTATTCATTCCTGTTCATCTCTCAGATATTTTTACTTATATGAAAATAGGTTTTTAAGTCATTCACATACCATATTACTTATAATGCGGACATTAAAAGCGTAGTTTTTCAGAAGCATTAAGCGCAGCAGATTTTGTCAACAGAAGCTGCTGTTCATCATCAGCCCCTCTGATGGCTGAGCCCTGAAGTCTATCTTTGTGCTAGAGTTTTATATTTTAGAGACTGCAGCTTAGGAAACTTAAACAACAAATACTCTAAAGAATGATCTTACTCCTAAGTGGCTAAAGCAGCCCTACCACAGATGCAATCAAAATGCAGCTGACCATAATCAGTACAAATTGAAACATATATATACACACACATATATATTTATGTGCATGTATGTGCTTGTGTGTATATATATGTGTGTGTAGATATGTATATGTGTGTAGATATAATGTATCAATGTAAAAGATGTATTTATAGTCTTCATGCTGCTGAATATGTCACTTTACAATTCATAAGGACTTAGGTTTCTTGCAATACTTCAAGATAAAGGCTGATCAGGGTTTTACTTCGGGCATCTTTTCCAACACAAAAATCCTCTGATCTTTTTTTAATTATCCCATATAATACTGTGCTGACCAAGAATACTTAGTCTGATATTTAACAATGGAATGGCAACATGAGATTCAGCTTATCTTCATCTATGTAAGTTATTTGTAAATCATCTGTAACATAATTTACTTATATATTGCTGTCATTGCTATTATGAGACTGTCATTTCTCACTGCAGCCTCGTTTGTGTGATTTCAATGGTTTTTCTCCACATCATTGCACTTTAATACAACCCATTTCACCATTTCCTTTTTTACTGCTGTTGTGAATTAGAAGTTCAAAGTCAGAGGTCTCTATTGTAATTAAATGTAATAAATTTCAGCGCTTCTTGCTGAAAGCCTTTATATAGACATGCTCTGTGTTTTATTTTGTCTCACAGTCTTAAAAGCTTCTTATGGGTATCATATAAAAACAGAGGCTGAAGGATTTGGACAGAAACCCAAGTCTGTCTTGCTGTGCTTGTCAGGGTCTGTGTGTTCAAATCCTTTGCCTATGCATTCTGGGACCATCTCAGAAAAACACCAGCTTATCCTTGTGATCCTGTCTCACGTACCTGGCACCAGGGAATTAAAGTATGTGTGCAGGCTGAGGATAAAAAATGAAAGCCAGTTCCAGGTAATCAGACTGATTGCCATTCTCACACACACATGTTTTTGAAAGATGGCACATCGCTGTTGGGTTTTCCCAAAGAAAGCCGTGAATCCCATGGCTCCCTTCCTCCTTTACACATGCTCCTCTTGATCCTGTGGTCATAGAAGAGCAACTTGGAGGTCCATGTCTGGCCACAGATGGGTGAGAAAGGGGAAACCATTTTCACCCTTGCAGCATCAGAAGAGGAATGTGTTTGTGCATTCCCTGGTTAATGGCTCTAAGGACCATCACACCATGGCAGAAGGTGAATTTTACACTCATTGTAGTGCTTTGGGCTGAGTTAGTGGCCATGAACAATTACATGATCCATATAAGGTGTTAATAAGGTGTTATTGGTATTTGATTGCATTTATTTACTCTTGTTAACATAACAGCTACCTCTTTAGTCAGTAGTCCTACTTTTCTGAGCAAGACGAGGACTGACCTTTCTGAGCAGAGCCACGTCACACTTAGAGCAGATGAATGAAAGAATTCCAGCCAAGATTTGCCTTAGTGGAAAGTAAAGAATTTTCTATATAAAGGTCTAATAATGATTCATTCCTTTTTAATTGTAAGGTTTGTTTTTCTCCCTTTGCAAACACTATGGCATCATCTTGGATTTCTTAGATCACTGGCTCAAAGTTGGAGCACAGTCTTTCATAGATAGAGAATCTTTGCTTGTAATACAAAACCCTTTCCCCATTCTGCACAGATGTCATTAAGTAAAACTGGGGACTTTGGAACATAACTCATTTTCATCACTTGCCTCAAAATGACAGGGACTCCTCCTGTATCATATGTCAGATGGCTATTATAAACTGCACTGTGAAGAAACCACTTGTTGTGCCAGCCTGGCACATAGGAATGGATGGCAGGGCTTTGGCTAGCTAGCAGGGCACTGTGGGGTGAGGGTACCACATCAGTCTGAGATCAAAAGGCAGAAAGGGGAGAGTGCAGAGCATGTACCACAAGAGTGAAGTGGGTGGGGCTGGTGGGTGCAGTGTGGCAAGGAGCAAGGGGCATGTTTCAGTGTGAAGAAACACTGCATGGAGCTTCTGCCAGCCAGCAGCAGACCCCCCTGCTTCCCTCCTGCTTCATAAGTGTTGCACTCTTGGTCCTGCCAGGTCCAGGGAGCAACTTGGTTTCCCACTCACCTTTCCTTGGCAGTCTTTGGATGGATCAGCTCCCAGCCTGGGTGCAACATTCCCCTCCTTGAGCAGTAGTACTTGTGCTTGCTCCTATAGCCACAGCCTCTTCAATGTCCCCCACAGGGACAGCCTCCAAGTGCAGCAGGACAGAGGCAAGGGATGGTCAGGGCACTGAGGCACTGGAGGGCTCTGCTGGAGTGTGGATAAGGCCAGTACAACTGTTTTGGCATCCATTCCCTTCTTCAGCTGCTCATGTGCTGTTGTACCTGGTTAGCTCAAAATATTGTCATCTGTTAATAAACACACAACACCCCATGACATGGGTTTTCATGCTCCAACTGTTTTGATTAGTCCAAATGGCAGTCGCAGTGAGCCCCCTCACCCAAAGCTCAAGCCTTCTCTTGAGAAACCTAGGGGCAGCATTATGCCTGGACAAAGCCTCAAGAGAAAGCAGTAGTGTGATGTACACTAAAAGCAAGACAAAGTGGTAATGTTTCCTCATCCAGCCGAGCGGTGTTGCAAGAGGAGTTCTTCAGCCCTCAGCAAGGAAAGGCCAAGTTACAGCCAGGGCAAAGGCAAACCATGAAGAGCTCAAACAGCTCCTCCGTGGCTCTGACCCTGCAGAGACAGGCCAAAATCACCCACAACATTAAGTCCCTATAGCAGTGAGGCAAGAAGGGATGATGAACGCAAGTATGCTTGCTGGGCATCTTTGTAGCTTACTCAAGTACTGCTGCAGCCACCACCACCTGTACCAGCAGTGGCCTAAAGATGGTGGTAGAAAATCAAGGATCAAGTTTTGCATTTTCATTCTGAAAGGTTTTTAGTCTGATGAGCCCACGTGGTGCTGAAATGTTATCTTTGACAAATGAACTGAGGTGAATTGATTAACCACCTTTCAGGTTTTTATATTTAGTCATTCTACATCTATTGGAAAGACAGTCCCCAGCTGCATTTAAAAGGCTATGAACTTACTAGTGGTGTGGTTGCAGCTGTGATGGTCTCAGGACAATTGAGAGAAGGTCTGTAGTAGAGTAATATCTCTCATTGCCCACTGAGATAGGTGGCATTCAACAGTCAGCTTTGGGGCACACTGTCTTTACTGTAATTTCCTTTGTGCTGCCTTTTCTATGTTGTTTGCTTCCTTTATTATCTAGGTACCTTCAGATACCCTTCTCCTCAGGCAGCAAAAGAAAGAAATAACCCACATGAAGATTAAAAATTAAAATGTTAAGCATTTGTATTCAGAGCTAGAGACAAAAAAAAATATCAAGAATATTATCTCCCCATGTCCTACTTCTTTATGAGAATAATTAATGTATGAGGATACAGGACTCAGTCAAGCAGGCAAGTAATTTTCTCCTGGAAATAAATAGTTCTCCTTTGAGGTCTAAAACCCGAATCATTTGCTTAAAGCTCAGCAGCATGATAT